CAAGTAAAATTGAAACCAGAAGGAAAAAAAAAAAAAAAAAAAAAAAATGTCAAAGTGGCAGGGGGTGGGGGCGAACTCCAAAAGTCAGAACTGGTTTTACAAACTTAACTCGTTTAAATTGAATGGTGATTTTTTTTTTTAATGGATCAGTGGTGTTGGTAATGGGAACGAGTGTGGGATCCAGGTATGCGTGTTTATTTATGGGCCACCTGCAACACCTGCGTAGAGAAACAAACGATCAACAATAAAAACAGAGTTGTGCTGACTTCCTTGTTGGAAAATCATCCCTCATTCTAATTTACTTCAACAACTTATGAAATCATGAAAGTACTATCCAATTTTTTTTTATCCCTGGTCCAGTCACACTGTGATGCCCCCCGCTCCTATGATGCCCCTATCCTTTGATGCCCCCCCTCCTTTGATGCCCTCCCTATGCACGCGCTTATCGTGTTTATAATACAGGTTAATCCAGCCACGCCCCAAACCTGTCGCAATGTTGGGGGCGGTGGTATGTAGAAAAACAACTAACCCACCCCATCGAATGTTGTGGTGTTCTGTAGAAAATAAATCATCCCACCCCATAACAGGTGGGGGTGTTGGGTGGGGTGGTAGGTAGAAGACCCCCCTCCTCCTCCTCTCCCCTCGGGCAATATTCGCTGAGTAGATCACCAGAAATAGTAACTCCTGTTGTCCCGAGAAGAATAAATTGTCTTGCTAGTATTTTAAATGTTTGGAGGACGGTTCTCAGCCCCCTCTTGAGACTACCTCCCTGCTTGCAATCTATGGGCTTCTGTGTCAGACCACCAGTACAGCGACCCCTCATCTATCGCGCTGTCACTTTGCGGGTCTCACTGCATCGCGAAATTTGTTTACTCGTAGATATCTAATTTTTCGCTCCATCGCGGGATTTTGCCATATATAGGTAAGCTTAGATATTTATTTTTGTCATTATTTTTGGCGCAAAAATAAGCATTTTCCAGCCTTAAAATATGGGGAAACTTTTTTTTTTAAATATAGAAAATATTAATCAAAACATTTTAAAAGAAAATTAAATATTAAAATAGAAAATAGCATACGTTAAATATAATGTCGCTACTTTCCGAATTCCGGCACATTATCCCGCGAAATCTAATAAAGGAAATGTCTTTGACGATAAATTGATCGACGATAATTTGATCGAACGAAAATTGTGTCGAATTTTTTTTTTTTTTTTTTTTTTCAGTTTTTTCGTTAAAATTTTTCTTCAAATTTCTTTTTGAACGCATTATTTTGTTTAAATATTTAATATAGTGCGTTCAAAAAGAAATCTAATGAAAATTTTAACGTGTGAACTGAAAAAAAAAAAAAGAAGTTGCGACCAAATTACCGTTCGATCAAATTTCCGTCGATCAATTTACCGTCGACGGAATTTCTTTCGATCAAATTTCCGGTAAGCACACCCCCCACCCCCACCCCCACCCCCCGCGATAGTTGAGGGATCACCGAAATTTTCTAACACTACTGACCGTACCAACGTCAGAGTGTGACTAGTCTGTTGATCGTCCGGGTGGCGTGGATATTAAGGTAAATTTTTTTAGAATGATCTGTTCCAAATGTTCATAGACGTTTCATTATAGGAATTATTTAACAATTATTAAGGAATTTAAGATTTTTTTGGACAAACGCGTGGGTCCTTAAACCACAAGACGAGGACCGCTGCATTAGGTAAACCCATACCTGACCTGACAGTGTTTCGTTATGTGGCCCCCGGGGGCCCAACCGTCCCGCTGTAGTCAAGTACTGGTACGACCAGATGATTGATAAACAATCCCCGAAGGTTTATCTTAATCCAATCCTTGTTGGTGTCAACCCGGGGGAAGTTACCTCATTGGGTAATTCTATTACGACCCGACATGACCGTTGTGGCGGATGTTGATTGGAGTTATTATTCTAGGTTTCTCGATCTATTTTAACAAAGATCATATCAGATAAGAGAAAGGAACAAAACTTTTAAGATTTTCAGAGCTGATAATAATCTCTCAAAGGGATAGTTTGTTTCTTTCTTTCATCTCAAGTCAGTATTTGTTTCAAGGATGTTTCTATACACTGAGTGCCCCTCATGATCAGTACCCTTGTAGCCACTAAGTGACCCTAATGATCAGTACCCTTGGAGCCACTGAGTGCCCCTCATGATCAGTACCCTTGGAGCCACTAAGTGACCCTAATGATCCCCACCATTGGAACCATTGAGTGCCCCTTATAATCCCCTTAAAATGTTAAAGTGGGCTTTTAACATTTTAAGTTATTCAAAGCCATTGAGTGCACCTTAAAATCCCCACCCTTGGAGCCATTGAGTACCCCTTATAATCCCCACCCTTAGAGCCATTGAGTGCCCCTAATAATCCCCACCCTTAGAGCCATTGAGTACCCCTTGCAATCCCCACACTTGGAGCCATTGAGTGCACCTTAAAATCCCCACCCTTAGAGCCATTGAGTGCACCGTAAAATCCCCACCCTTAGAGCCATGGAGTGCACCGTAAAATCCCAACCCTTAGAGCCATTGAGTGCACCTTAAAATCCCCACCCTTAGAGCCATTGAATGCACCTTAAAATCCCCACCCTAAGAGCCATTGAGTGCACCTTAATATCCCAACCCTTAGAGCCATTGAGTACCCTTTATAATCCCCACCCTTAGAGCCATTGAGTACCACTAATAATCCCCACCCTTAGAGCCATTGAGTACCCCTTACAATCCCCACCCTTAGAGCCATTGAGTACCCCTTGCAATCCCCACACTTGGAGCCATTGAGTGCACCTTAAAATCCCCACCCTTAGAGCCATTGCGTACCCCTAATAATCCCCACCCTTAGAGCCATTGAGTACCCCTTGCAATCCCCACACTTGGAGCCATTGAGTGCACCTTAAAATCCCCACCCTTAGAGCCATTGAGTACCCCTTGCAATCCCCACCCTTAGAGCCATTGAGTGCACCTTATAATCCCCACCCTTCGAGCCATTGAGTGCCCCTAATAATCCCCACCCTTAGAGCCATTGAGTGCCCCTTTATTATTTAAAGAAGTAATAATAATAATAATAATCATAATAACTGAAGGCGTGGGAAATTTTCGGGTTGGGTTCTTTTTTAAAGTTGTAAGACTACCTGTAAGACTACCTGCTATCTTGCGCAAATCCATCTATGTCCGTAATGATCGCACCATGAATCTATCCTTATCCCACCCTGAAGGCTGCCCCATGTGACATGAAGCCATTCCCTCCCATTCCGGATCTATCCCAACTCGAAAATCACCCCCCCCCCCAAATCAGTTACCCGCCCTCGAAATACCGATTTACTGTAAGACTCCCTGCTATCTTGCGCAAATCCATCCTTGTCCGTAATGATCGCCCCCTGAATCTATCCTTATCCCCCCCCGAAGGCCGCCCCATGTGACATGAAGCCATTCCCTCCCATTCCGGATCTATCCCAACTCGAAAATCACCCCCCCCCCCCAAATCAGTTACCCGCCCTCGAAATACCGATTTGCTTCTCCACCTTTGTCCTCGGAACTGTATCTTAAAATTCAGATATTTACGTGCGATCGTTGCGCATCGGTATATCCACGGACGGATCGTTCGTTTCAGTCTGAGAGTAGCCGCAGACACCCGGAGTGTCACGTGTGCAGCCATTAAAGGAACGGTTTGGACACTTATAAGAAACACGGACAGCCTCGTCAAGGGACAGTAACACCAGGACCCTCTCATAGCCGACATTTCATTACGTTTACCACACTGCGGCTAATACTTCTAGACGCGTGAACAGACAGCGATAGAGATGATACGTCTTGCCCACGGTTGTGTCCTGCTGCTGCTGCTGCTGCTGCTGACCGCCGGTCCGGCCGTGCGGGGTGGCCCTAACGACTGTGTCAACGTCGCCACCAGCGAGGGGGTGAGGACACTTCAGCACGGACAGCAGGCGTGCGCGCCGTTGCAAGGGGCCGAGTCCGACAAGGGACTCTCGTTCATCACGTGCAGCTACGGCACCGTCTACACACAGCAATGCCCGACTATGCTAAGGTGGGTTAACATTTTAGGCTATTCAAAGTAAGTTACAGTTTTAGGTAATTCAAGGTAATTTACAGTTTTAGGTAATCCAGGTAAATTCCAGTTTTAGGTAATTGAAGATAAGAACATACAGTTTTAGGTAATTGAATGTAAGTTATGGTTTCGGGTAACTGAAGATAAGCTTCAGTTTTAGGTAACTGAAGGTAATTTGCGGTTTTAGTAATTGAAGGCAAGTTGCGGTTTTAGGTAATGGAATTAAGTTGCAGTTTAAGGTAATTGAAGGCAAGTTGCGGTTTTAGGTAATGGAATTAAGTTACAGATAAAACACTAAAGTGGGTCCAGCATAGTTTATTTACTTTGAGTAAAGGATTATACTGGTAATCATTTTTTAAAGTGTTGATGTGTGGGGGTGGGGGTGTGATAAGATTAGGTAAAAATAAATAAGTAGATCAAGGTAGCGGGTAGGGGGAAAACGTTCCTGCATTTTCCTCGAGAGCGGCTTCCAAAAAGTTATTTTAGTTGACTTGACTTTTCTTTTCAATTCTTTTTTGTTGTTTTTCCAAAGAAGACCTTTTTCTGACAAGCCCGCTGCTTCCTTTTCCACGTTTTAAATTTACTACTTGTTAAAGAAATAAAAATAGTTTATATGGATAGGAACGTAAACAAAATATTCATTTCCTGCAGTTAAAGTCGAACAATAATTTTATGTTGATGAATAATCTAACATACATGTCACCCCAAACCCCCCCCCCCCTTTTCCAACCCACCAGATTCGATGTACCGACAGGAACGTGTAACTGGCCAGATGTAGCGACATGTGAACTGCCCGTTGGTAAATACGTTGCATTCATTTGTGTGTTGTTGTTCCTTTTTTTTCATGCGAATCTCATTTGGGCGGGATTTAAAATATTTATTTAAATTTTTAAGTGATTTTATTAAATTTCTTTTGAACACTTTCTGATGAACACCCGGAATATGTCTATTTTAAAAACATCATTTAAGTCAGACTTAAATCCTCATCATCAATGTATTTGTTTAAATTTTATTTCTTAACATATTTATTACTAGTAGTAAAAATTTATTGTCAAGATAATATATATATATATATATATATATATATATATATATATAAGAATGAACGATGCTGACATCAGAGGCGTAGCGACGATGTTTGGCGCCCGGGGACAAGATTCGCGACCGGGGAGAAGATCTTTTTTAAAGCGCCCCCTTTTCTTTTTTTTTCAACTCTCAAACCCATTATTTTTACCAATAATATAACATCAAAGCACATTTTGGCGCCCCTAACTAGCTTGCGTCCGGGGACATCTGTCCCCCCTGCAACACCCCCCTTGCTACGCCTGTGGCTAACATAACGCTAAGGAACCGAAAAGATTTAGATACGTTCGCATACTATTATTTTACGGAAATCGAATAAATTTAAATGTGCAAAAAATAACATAAATTCGCTTTTATTTTAGTAAAAGTTTAAGTATTATTATTATAAATTGCAAGTACATTTAAAGTAACAACAAAGGAATTATTTTAAGTTTTTTATCTGAATTTAAAAGTTATGAACACAAAATTTAATCGAAAAATTATGATCTAAGAATTACAGCGTAATCACAGTATCGGGAAAACCCAAACATCAGTTGTTTTTAGTGCGTCTTTTAGTGCGTTGTTAATATTGCGAAATAAAATTAAAATTAATTTCTTCTCAATAAACACGCAAATGGCGTCATAGCACGAATCGCCAATGTTAGCCAAAACTCTTATATTTCTTTGATTTAATAACCACGTCGTGTTACAAAACTGATAATGTATTTCCCGCTTCATAAAAGTAAAATTAATATATATGATTGATTGCTTTTTAAATTGTTAATAAAACACACAAGTTTTAGCTTTGTATTTGTAACATTTAATAAGTTTTTTTTTAGTTTTTTTTTATTCGAAAAGATCTAAATGAAAAGATCTAATTCGAAATGAGACCCGGGTGCGAATGGCGACGGGCGGCGATGCGTGTCCGGGTCCATTTTGACTAAATTTTATTCGGATGTCATTTGTGGTTGTTTATTTTAGTTAAACTGAAGAATTTAGTTTACAAACATATAGTCCATTCAATTATCTTCCATTTGATGACTCATTTTGTCTAACACAACAAACAATAATATTTTAAGTAGTTTTTTTTTTTTAAATTCCACCTCTGACTTCTGGTACCGGGGTGCGAATAGTCACAGCCATAATATAATGGATGTAGTAATACGATCTTTTCATCTATTAAAGTTAGCTTGATTCTGGTCTATGTGTTAATGTGTGTTGTGAAAATATAAATCGGAAAGGGTCAAATTTTAAAAAGTTCGTGCAACTACAGTGCGGTCATTGTGTAGCATCTAATTCCACATTTTTCTTCCTCACTAATACAAAATGTTGGTGCTTCATACTGTTTTTTGTCTACATTTCTTTGTTAACTTTTTTTTGAAAATTTATTAAAACAATAAAATAATTATGCAAACTTAAAATTGATATACCCACAGACCACTGAGAAAATTGTTAACCCTTGGAATTCATTTGCAGAAACGGTGCCAACCCCTCCTCCAGCGACAACAACCCGTCCTCCAACGACCACAATCCGCTCACCAACCCCCACAACCCGACAACCAACGACCACAACCCGCTTTCCAACGACTACAGCCCGTTCTCCAACCACCACAATCCGCTCTCCAACCACCACAACCCGACCACCAACGACCACAACCTCCTACCCATCCACGACAACCCGAACTCCAGCCACGACAACCCGCCCACCCCCGACGCCCACGCCCAGCGATGGAACCTGCAGCGACACCAACTGCAGACGCCCCGACTGTTTCTGCTACGGGGGCAGCATCAACATGTCCGCGCTGGACACGCCCATGTTCGTCATGCTGACCTTCGACGACGGCGTCACGGAGCAGCTGTACGCGAACTACTTCCGGTCACTGTTTGTCGACAACGACTACACCATCTTCAACCCGAACGGCTGTCGCATCAAGTAAGCTATGAACCACAGAGTCAATAGTAGAATCGGTGCGATTCAATTCTTGGTTAAATACGCCATAGAATTATTTTTATTTTTTGTTGTTGTTGTTGTTATTGTTCTTATCGGATTTTCCCAATCCTCTGTCTTGTACTTCAAAAATAACAATAGCTTTGGAATTTGTCTTTACCGCAGGGGACCAGTGTTGCCATGGTTACCCGTTTTAAAACCTTACCTCTGCCCCCATAACAGGTGTATCTTTTATAATTCATGTCATTTCATGTGGTTTTTTTGTTGTTGTTTTTGTTTTATCTAAATGAATATGGTTGTGGTCATGTTAATTCAAGATGGTGTAAACTTTTCCTCCCCGCCACAACCTTTTAAGGACCACGCTGTACGCTTCCCTGGACAACACTGACTACTCCAGGCTGACGGCGATGTGGGACGCTGGCCACGAGATCGCCAGTCACACGGTCACCCACTCCTTGCCTCTGGGGGACAAGGACAGCGACTACGCGGCGATGGCGGACGAGGTAGGACCGTTGAATGACGTCATCGTGGGGGCTTCGGTTGGTGGATATGGAAATCACAGCGTTAAAGTGGGCTTTTTTTTTTGGTGGGGTGGGGTCTCATGGACCCCTTTCGCTGCCAGATAAAGACCACGGTTAACTTATTTAAATACACATAATAAATATAGAAAGGACATACAGCTCGTGGATCTTCTGGTACCTTTTCACCGATCCACAAGGGGTCCGCGGACAGCAGGCTAAGAACCCCTACGGAGGACCTAAGGGTATTGAATGAAGGGACTTAACCTAACAGAAATAGCTGTAAAAATAAATGCCCCCTTTGCAAGATTTAAAAGTATCTCTTTGAGAAAAAAAACAAAAAAACAAACTCTATAGGTCATTTAAAATAAAAGGATTTATTTATAGAAACATGAACTCATTGTACACACACACGCACACACACGCACGCCATAAAAAGATGTGTTGATTTATTTTTTTTAATCACTACCCTCAGATTGATGGCATGAGACAAGAGGTTCTGAGACAGACTGGAAACCGGGAACTGGCCAACTCTATCCTCGGCTTCCGTGCCCCGTACCTCCGTGTGGCCGGCAACGTCCAGTATGACGTTCTCAGAGACTACCACTTCCTGTACGACACGTCCATCGTCAACATCGAGATCGCCGGGGGTCGAAAGCCGCTCTGGCCTTTCACGTTAGACTACCTGGTGGGAAGGTGAGACGTCCGTTCATGAACTTTGTGGGGGGGGGGGCGTTCAGTTGTGTCACCATTGGTCATTTCATTATCTTTTGGTGTTGTGTGTGTGAGTTAATTAGTGATATGACGTCATATACATGATTTTTTTTATTCGTTTGCATAAGACCTCTTTAAAACCCTTATTTATATGTTAAACTCCGCTTCTGCTTGTTCATGTGTGACGACACGAAGAGGTTGTCGTATCAGGTTTGTATCAAGCGACCAAAGCCGAGGCGTAGCTAGAGCGTTTGGCGCCCGGGGACAACATTCATTTTAAAGCGCCTCCATTTCTTTTTTTTTTTTTTCAACTCTCATACCCATTAAGTTCAAAAATAAAATGACTTTCAAATTTTTTTTTTAAGCCCCTCCCTTTTTTTTTTTTTTTTTTCAACTCTCATACCCATTATGTTCACAAATAAAATGACTTTCAAATCACATTTGGCGCCCCAACTACTCTGGCTACCGGGGACATCTGTCCCCCTGCCCCCACCCCCTTTCGGTACGCCTCTGGACCAAAGTGCCTGATTACTTTCATAATTGGACCAAGCTAGCCTATGGCCCTGAAACCTGAAGTGTGCATGCACAAAGTAGAGAAATGCACACCGAAAAAAAAAAACAGATATTACAAAAGAGAGACGAATTTACGAAGCCCAATCATCCACCTGTTGCCGTATTTATTTTAGAGTATGAAATTTATTCCAAACACTTTACTCTATATATACTCTACTTTATATGTGACAGCTTACTTCCGGTTATAATATATCTACTATAGTCTATACGACATAACACATTTGGTGAATTAAAAAATTGCTCATGAATCAGAATATCAATTTTTAAAAAAAATATTTGGTGGTACCCAATGAAATCTTAAATATTTTATGATTTGTTTAGACCAAGTTTTTCGATGCGCAATGGAAAAATAACCAGCCAGCCCCCCCCCCTGCCCCAACCCCCCTGTTTCCACACATTTTTTAGAATCGGAAATTCAAGACCCCCCGATATGGACGTGTCATATTAATATTAAAGGGTTTGAATTCTTTAAATTTGGCTGAAGTTGGAATCTCAGAATATGTCATGTAAATTTTAGATCTTTTCCCCACACAAACAGCACCAAAAACAAACGCGCTGGTTAACCTATAATAAAAATCTACAGTGAAATTTTAAAAAAAAACAAGAGATATTGGAAAACCTATTATCATATCGCAACGGAAGGATGGGGGCCCATTTCAAACAAGATGGCGGCGCCCTTGGTATTTCTATATCTGGCAGTAGGAAACTTGACAATAGAGTGTCCAAGGACAATGAGTTGTTGAGTGTTTAAGGACAATGAGACACACATTGAGTGACTAATAAGGAGACATTGGATGTCCAAGGACAGTGAGGCATTGTGTGTCCAAGAGCAAGGACACGTTGAGTGTCTAAGGACGACGAGGCATTGTGTGTCCAAGGACACATTTGGTTTCCAAGGACAAGGACACGTTGAGTGTCTAAGGACAGTGAGGCATTGTGTGTCCAAGAGCAAGGACACGTTGAGTGTCTAAGGACGATGAGGCATTGTGTCCAAGGACAAAGACACATTTGGTGTCCAAGAACAAGGACACGTTGAGTGCCTTAGGACGATGGGGCATTGTGTATACAAGGAAAAGTACAAGTTGAGTGTCTAAGGACGATGAGGCATTGTGTGTCCAAGGACAAGGACAAGTTGAGTGTCTAAGGACGATGAGGCATTGTGTGTCCAAGGACAAGGACAAGTTGAGTGTCTAAGGACGATGAGGCATTGTGTGACCAAGGACAAGGACACATTTGGTGTCTAAGGACAAGGAGACAGACGTTGAATGTTCAAGTACAAGCTTAACAACCCACATGTGTTGAACAACACCTTATTATAGATTTTGCAAATTATTAAGTCGATGTTTTCATTCAAAAAATAAAAGCTTCATGTTTAAACTCGCCCACAGCTGTGTGAACCCCCCATGCCCCACAAAGCCTTACCCCGGTCTGTGGGAGTTCCCGATGAATGCCTGGATTGGAGACGACGGATATTCGTGCAGCATGGTGGACGCATGCGCAGTAGGCTCGAATTTGTTCACAGCATCCGAGTTAGAGTGGTACAACTTCTACAAGTAAGTAATCGAATACAAATGTTAAAATAACCGAATACAAGGATTATAATAACTGAACACCAGGGGTGGCAATAACTGACTATTGTGGTTAAAATAACTAGAATGTAAGTGCTAAAATAATAACTGAATACTCTGGTTAAAATAACTAGCTACTAGGATTACAATAACTGATTATAAGGGCTAAAATTGTTAAAATGACTCAATACAAATATTACAATAACGATTATAAGGGGTAAAATTGTTAAGATAACTAAATGAACTGGTTAAAATAACTAAAGGAACTGGTTAAAATAACCAAATGAACTGGTTAACAGAGCTTTTTTATTTTACCTTGCTATTTTACCTTGTTGAAATGAGCGAATGTCGTATTTTCGATTCACACTCATCTATGACGTGTGGCTCTTTCCACAGGCGCAACTTTGAAAGCTACTTCTACCCAGACAGAGTCCCCATGCCCTTCTTCACCCATGGGTCCATGTTCTTGCGGTCCACAAACGCTTTCCCGGCCCTAGTGACCTGGATCAAGGAACTGCTGAGCTACCGTAACATCTGGCTGGTCACTCCGCAGCAGGTCATCGAGTGGATGAAGAACCCACTGACCAATGACCAAATGATAGCCGAGAGATGGGGGTGTTAATTTGCACAAACCTGATTGGAAGTCCTGGGGCGTTTGAGGGGGGGGGGTAGTATCAGCACACCCGGATCGGACGTCTCAGATAGGGTTGGGGTTAGGGATAGGACGTCTCGGATGGGGTTAGGGTTAGGACGTCTCGGATTGGGTTAGGGATAGGACGTTTCGGATGGGGTTAGGGATAGGACGTCTCGGATTGGGTTAGGGATAGGACGTCTCGGATGGGGTTAGGGATAGGACGTCTCGGATGGGGTTAGGGATAGGACGTCTCGGATGGGGTTAGGGTTAGGACGTCTCGGATTGGGTTAGGGATAGGACGTCTCGGATTGGGTTAGGGATAGGGCGTCTCTGATTGGGTTATGGTTAGGACGTCTCGGATGGGGTTAGGTTTAGGGTTAGGGATAGGACGTCTTGGATGGGGTTACAAGGAGCTGTAGTTTGTAAATAAATTCTGAAATACCAAAAAATTTCCATTACGGATTGGTTAATTTTGGTGTGGTTTTTAGAGACGTGGTTAAAGTTAGGATGTTAGGTTTAGGTTTAGGGTTAGGGTTGGGATTAGGTTTGGGGTTAGGGGAGAATAGAGAGGAAGAGGGGCTGTAAGAGAGTAAGAGTGCGTGAAAGAGTTATTTAGAAGATTCCGGGAAAGAAGAAATAGAGGGGGGAGGGGGAGAGAGAGAGAGTGATGGACTGCATTTTCTTGATTCTCAACTAAAGCTGTAGCAAATGATACATTTGACAGTTTTTTTTATCTGCTTGGCCAGAATTACCTACTGAAATAATTTCCTATCTGTTACAATGTAGTTTCAGAACTGCCCACTGAAATAACTTCATGTCTGTTACAATGTAGTTTCAGAACTGCCCACTGAAATAACTTCATGTCTGTTACAATGTAGTTTCAGAACTTCCCACTAAAATAACTTCATGTCTGTTACAATGTAGTTTCAGAACTGCCCACCGAAATAACTTCATGTCTGTTACAATGTAGTTTCAGAACTGCCCACTGAAATAACTTCATGTCTGTTACAATGTAGTTTCAGAACTGCCCACTGAAATAACTTCATGTCTGTTACAATGTAGTTTCAGAACTGCCCACTGAAATAACTTCATGTCTGTTACAATGTAGCTTCAGAACTGCCCACTGAAATAACTTCATGTCTGTTACAATGTAGTTTCAGAACTGCCCACTGAAATAACTTCATGTCTGTTACAATGTAGTTTCAGAACTGCCCACTGAAATAACTTCATGTCTGTTACAATGTAGCTTCAGAACTGCCCACTGAAATAACTTCATGTCTGTTACAATGTAGTTTCAGAACTGCCCACTGAAATAACTTCATGTCTGTTACAATGTAGTTTCAGAACTGCCCACTGAAATAACTTCATGTCTGTTACGATGTAGTTTCAGAACTGCCCACTGAAATAACTTCATGTCTGTTACAATGTAGTTTCAGAACTTCCCACTAAAATAACTTCATGTCTGTTACAATGTAGTTTCAGAACTGCCCACTGAAATAATTTCCTATCTGTTACAATGTAGTTTCAGAACTGCCCACTGAAATAACTTCATGTCTGTTACGATGTAGTTTCAGAACTGCCCACTGAAATAATTTCCTATCTGTTACAATGTAGTTTCAGAACTGCCCACTGAAATAACTTCATGTCTGTTACGATGTAGTTTCAGAACTGCCCACTGAAATAACTTCATGTCTGTTACAATGTAGTTTCAGAACTGCCCACTGAAATAACTTCATATCTGTTACGATGTAGTTTCAGAACTGCCCACTGAAATAATGCCATGTCTGCTATGATGTGGTTTCAGAACTGCCCACTGAAATAATTTCACGTCTGTTCCGATGTAGTTTGCCACCTTACCAACAATCAAATGTAAGACTGTGCCTGCCAAACTAACCCGTAACATATTAGGATACTTCGGCCTGTATACGTGTCAAAAGTGGGTGGACGATGACCTCTAAAGACGGCAGATGCCAGAGAAAGGGAATAGAGACATACCTCATCACACATTTGTCAAACGAAGATGCTGAACAAGAATTGGATCTGGGTAGTCGGCGCGTCAACGAAATGGGGTTTGATTTAGAAGCAAGAAATTGCTTCCTTACGCTCAAAAATTTCTATGCATAATAACTGGTTTTTTGGTTTTATAATAATGTGTTAATATTTGGGACGCCATGGAATCCATATAGATCAAATTTTACTTTCACTTATTTTTATTATTATTTTTTTTTAAATTCAGTGATAATGAGTTTCTTTCTTTATCGCGTAATTTATTAATAGTAAAAACGATTTGAATATTTCCATTTTTTGTGTCTTTTATATCTTCTTGGTGGTTCATTTTAGCATTTGTGTGTGTGTGTGAGTGTTTGCGTGATTTTATTTATTAAAATGATATCATAATTTGAAAAATATTAAGTATGCCCTTTTCAGATTGCGATCTCATTTAAACACAGGAACACTGAGATACCATTGTAGAGCAGTGGTTCTCAAAATGTGGGTTGCGACTGTTACGAACTCGGTTCTACCCAAAGGTTCGATGGCTTCGTTCCGTCTAGAGGTTAAGTATGTTAACTTCACAAACCATTGATTATTAATATTAAAATACTGTATCTTTATTAGCTAGATCTCAACTACCTTTACTCACAAGACCATTACGTCATATCCCCTTTCACACAATACGTCACAAGACACTAAGAATAATAGATAAAACAACACACATAATCTCTAAACAACATGCAATCACAATATACATTCAAGTCCTTAACAGCAGCCCCTTTGGGGATCGAACGAACCTTTCACAGGGGTCACCTTAGAACATCGGAAAACACATATACTTGACGGTTATGAAGTAGCAACGAAAATAATTGTATGGTTGGGGGTCACCACAACTTGAGGAACTTTATTAAAGGGTCGAGGCATTAGGAGGGTTTAGAACCACTGTTGCAGCGCAGTCCGTAATGTCGAGTAATTTTGTACATAATTTTGGAAAGCGGAGTTTTAATTTTGATTTTAAGTAGCCCGTGATAATAATATGAATGTAATTTAACTTGAACGCAGATTATGGTGAGAGTTTTATAATAGGACTCACAATCAAAATGTTAACAATTTATTTTTAGCTAAGAGGTCAAATCTCTCATCAAACGCGGACCAAGAGAAATTAACCAGTTCAAAATCAAGCTGAACCTTAATGGAAAGTAACCCCTTATGAATTCTGCAGGAATGTTATTTTCTCGATTACCTCCCATTTAGCTAAACAATTTTTTAATATGACGTCACGTACCTTATTTCAAAACAATTTTTTTTTTAAACTTTACTAACTAATATTGTTGGACCACGCAACAAATTTTTAGGGCACATCGGCAAGTCCTATAACGGCTTCTTGCACATGGCTCAGTCCCAAAATAAGAAGGATCGCCCTCAAAGGCGATTGTGAATCAGAAGATCCAATATTGTAGATTTGTATCCCGTCTGTGCGTCTGAAGAAAATAAGTGGAGTGGACGAGAATACAAGAATACCATGTTAGTGTAAAGGTCATCAAAACCCTGTTATTGCCAAGGTCAGCAAAACCCTGTTAATGTCATGATCATCAAAACCATGTTAGTATCAAGGTCATCAAAACCCTGTTAGTGTCAAGCTCATCAAAACCCTGTTAGTGTCAATGTCATCAAAACCCTATTAGTGTCAAGGTCATCAAAACCATGTTAGTGTCAATGTCATCTCAGAAACAACCAGACACTGGAGTCCTTTAAAACCGATTTAAAGACACATCTATTTCGCAAACACCTTCTGGGATGATTGTCAACATTATTTTCCAGTTAATGCATAATGGCTGTGTTGCTTATGGTTGAAATGGCTAGAAAGACTTTGCCATTGTATGCTTGTACTTAGTTTTTGTCGTGTTGCGTTTGTTTTAAATGTGGTAAACTATAGATTTGTTTTTTGTTGACTTTGTACCGCGCTTCGAGCCTTTGGGGATGAAGCGTGTTTTTGAAATGAACTTTATTATTATTATTATTATTATCAAAACCCTGATAGTTTCAAATTCATTAAAACCCTGATAGTGTCAATGTCATCAAAACCCTGTTAGTGTCAAGGTCGTCAAAACCCTGATAGTTTCAAGGTCATCAAACCATGATAGTGTCAATGTCATCAAAACCCTGATAGTGTCAAGGTCGTTAAAACCCTAATAGTGTCAATTATCATCAAAACCCTGTTAGTGTCAACATCTTGTCAAAACTCTGATAGTTTCAAAGTCATGAAAACCCTGTTAGTGTCAACATCTTGTGAAAACCCTGATAGTGTCAAGGTCATGAAAGCCCTGTTAGTGTCAACATCTTGTCAAAACCCTGTTCGTATCAAGATCATGAAAACCCTGATAGTGTCAAGGTCATAAAAACCCTGTTAGTGTCAAGGTCATGAAAACCCTGTTAGTGCCAAGGTCATGAAAACCATGTTAGTGTCAGGGTCCGCAAGGAGTATACGACGATTTTTTAAAGAATTGTTTTTCGGCAATCAATCTTTCAGGCAGGTGGGTAAGGATGAGTTTAATGAGGGTGGTGAGCGGTGGGTAAGGATGAGTTTAATGAGAGTGGTGGGTAAGGATGAGTTTAATGAGGGTGGTGGGTAAGGATGAGTTTAATGAGGTTGGTGGGTAAGGATGAGTTTAATGAGGGTGGGGGCGGTGGGTAAGGATGAGTTTAATGAGAGTGGTGGGTAAGGATGAGTTTAATGAGAGTGGTGGGTAAGGATGAGTTTAAACGAGGGTGGTGGGTAAGGATGAGTTTTGTGTGGGTGGTGGGTAAGGATGAGTTTAATGAGGGTGGTGGGTAAGGATGAGTTTTGTGAGGGTGGTGGGCGGTGGGTAAGGATGAGTTTTGTGAGGGTGGTGGGTAAGGATGAGTTTAATGAGGGTGGTGGTAAGGATGAGGTTAATGAGGGTGGTGGGCTGTGGGAAAGGATGAGGTTAATGAGGGCGGTGGGTAAGGATGGGTTTTGTAAGGATGGTAGGTAAGGATGAGTTTAATGAGGTTGGAAAGTAAGGATGAGTTTTGTGAGGATGGTA